GCCATTTCAGATATATTAACTCTGTCCACACCAGTATAAAAATTGGTAGTAAATGAACACGAAAGTGTTTACAACATGGAAGTGTTACAGCCTGTCTTATTGAAATGTAGACTGAGAAATACCAATAAAAGTATGATTTATTTCCTTCTCATACTAGGTTAATGTCACACTGATAATCTGCTTTTTCAATGACAAGTATGGACAGCTTCTGTGCCCTACCCTTCATATTAGCTCCATTCTGAACAGAAAGAGTCTACAAGCTGTCTCATGTGTGCTAAACAATCTTACTTCCGATATCTCCTAATTGCCTAAGGGTCATTTTCAAACTCCTTCACCGGGCATAGGGCCCCTTTATGGTCTGCTTCCAGTTTATCTCCCAGCCCAATGTATGACCTGGGAAAAACAGAAGCTCAGGGAACAGTTGGTGGGTAAATGACCAGATCTGTAGCTCATGCTGTATATGGCAATTCACTCTCACGGGCCTGCCTCTCCCGTCAGGCCTGGGTCTGATTCATCTTCCTATTCCCAGCAGCTAGGAAAGAGCTGGGCACACAGAAGGCGCTCAATAAATATTTCCTGAGAAAATAAAGAATGATTCTTTCCACCCTCCGTGCAAGCCATTACTTTAGGTTGAAATAACTAAGTGGCACTTGATATATATATATATATATATTTAATCTCATGAAATATTTTTGTTTCTAGATTGGGCAAACACTATCACAAAGTCTCTGTGTAACCGAAGGGTATCAACCACTTACAGAGCTCAGTGTGGTAATGAGGGAAGGCATGATTTCCTGTGGTTTGACAAGAATGTGACAGGAATAGCTCCAACCGCTTTGAATAGATCATGAACACAACTTGTCCCTCTCAGTTGAAGCTCAAAGCTGTGGAATCCTACTAAACAAATGTGACCCAGCCATCACTTAGCAAGGTGGTATACTTAACAGATACCTTTATGTAGTCATCATTTTCTATGTTCTCCGAAGGATTTCAAAATTTGAGTGACCTTTTCTGCCCCCAACAATCTTACAGTCGAATTGGAGAAAGAAGGCTGTCATAGGAAGGGTAAGGATTTAGCAAGAAGCACTTCTCTAGAAATTCAGCATCTAAATCATAAAATCCTCGAAAAAGATAGATGTTTAAAATTATATCCATTCATGCAACTATGACATACAACTATCTACTGGGGCTTTGGGGAAAAAAAAGGAGGAGGATTGGCAATAGATGTTAGCTCAGAGCCCATCTTCCTCAGCAAAAAGAGGAGGATTAGCATGGATGTTAGCTCAGGGCTGATCTTCCTTACAAAAAAACAAAAAAATTATATCCATTCAGTGCATTCCTAAATCTTGGGCATTCCTCAAAAAGGATTATCAAAAGATAACAGGCAAGAGTTATTATGCCCAATCTTTCTATGCTGATAAAATATTTGATTGTGATGCAAAGAATCAGTTAGTTTCCACCAAATTTCACTCGCCATCGTGCTTTTAGAGGGATTGGAACGCAATCATTATAGATACATTTGGGAAAAAGTCCACACTATTGCAAAGAATAGATCTTAACACATTTAAAAACTCAAAGCGCTTAGGTTCAGCGTTCACCCTAAAAATGGAAAAATTTCTTAGCATTTTCCACTCAGATTTAGATGAAAAGGGCATCTGTAACCGAGGGAAGACACATGAGGACAGGGACTGCATCTTCTTATTTACGACTGTATCTCTGTGGCAAATAAAATACCGGGCAGGTACTGGGCAGTCAATAAATATTGGTGGAGTGTACTAAAGACCCAGTGCTCTAGCCTGATAACATGCAGTTGGCTCTAAGCATTGGTTCAAAGTCAACACAACCAAGGACAGTGGCAAATTAGCATTCACAGGTCTTAAAATTACTTGTAAAAATACATTAAAAATTGTGCTATCTAGCATGACATTCACGTATTCAACGATACCCCAAAACAAGCATGTTAAATGAAGTCTCCGTCAATTAAGAGGGAAAAGGTGTTTATGCAAGCCCTACTATGTGTCCATTACTATGTGAGGCACGATTGGACATGGAAGGAAGAACACATGAATACGAACGTAGAGTGCACAGACCCTGCCCACAAAGTCTCAGACGCCAAGTGGGGACGATACTAACATGACTGTGTAACTAGAGAGATAAAAGGCTATACAAGTATCCAAGGAAAAAAGAAGCTGGATACATAGGTCTTAGAAACGTATTTTCTTCTTAGCTTACTTCATTGCCATCTGTGTCTTAAATTTGTAATTTAGTCCCTTCTCATTACATGCAAATAAAATAGAGTTGAACTTCAAATTTGTGTGTTTAATTCTCTTAGACTGCAGTGTAAGCCACTCTTAAAAGTAAGATATTTAGGGAGGGGGTACTGGGGAGGGTCTTTTTCTTATCCTCTCCATAGGCCAGTGAAGGCCACTAGGGAAATCAAGCGTTAAGTGCTTTCGACATTAGGAAACCATGTTTCCAATTTACATTCTTTAACTAAGAAGGGCTCAAGATTTTTTATTTTTATTTTTTGGCCGTAATGTTGTTTCCAAAACGCACACTTCTTTCTAGTAAGCACGAAATTGGCCCCATCTGTTTAGAAAGAACAGAAAATTATTTTATTTTTGTGTCTTGGGGAGTTAGATGCTTTTTTAGGGAAATAAATAGACCTTCCTGGTGCATTTAAAAAAGATGATATCTAACTCACAAGGGTGTGGGGAGGATGCAAGGATTAGCGGGGACTGAAGAGGCCCTGTACAGGGAAGAGGCTCCATGTCTGTTAAGACTTTTCCTGCCTCCCCCCGGCCCCACCCCACATACACACTCAATCTTCGCAGGTAGAGGAATTTGTGAGATTTAGAAATGAATAAGACTCTGCCCCAAGAGTCCTTTGGCGAGCCTCTTTTTACTTCCTCTATTTTTGCTTTATTCGTCCTGATCAATTCAAAATTTGCAGAAGTCCCACACAGGACTGTGTGACCTTCAGCTTGTACGTAAGCTCCCTTGGCCTGCTTCCTCCTGGGGGCCAGGGGGTGGGGGTGTCAGAGATGTAGTGCTAGGGTCACCTTCAATTGGAAGGATCCCTCATTCTAATGGTAACCTCAGGTCTCCTCCGTGTCTGTGAAAAATCCTGTCCACTCCAAGCTTCTAAATAGCAATATAAATTCCCATACTGATTCATAAATACCCCCAGCCCTTCTGGGAAGATTCTCTTGGGAAGAAAAAAGAATTCTCTTTCCCCATCAAAGAAAATGTGTAGCCTCTCCCACCACCTCCATCCCCATGTGCAGCACCTAAGTGTACAGTGTGATCTGTACAGAAGCTTCTTAATTTCCCCATCCCACACACCAAGCAGCCAAAATTCAATCATTACCAAATTTTGTATTTTACTTTTCTTTTTCGCTACATTCTTTGTCCTCCCAAGAGAAAGATCTTCTCTGCCATCACTTGATTTCATGAATCATCTCTTTCCCCTTAATGCTCATTTTTAATTTTAAATGGAGGAACACTGGAGTTGTATTAATTTCTTAAAATCTGATTTCATCTTGGCAGTTTGAAAAATGCACACAGCAAAAACCTAAACCTCCTGTGTGCTTGGTTTATCTTTGTACCTTGGGCATTTTCATTTTGCCCACACCCTTCCTTACAGGCAGGAAAAGAAAATGCAGGGCTGGAGGCTCCATCTTGAGAAGGCTCCCAGACCTTTGTGCTCACCGCTCTGGTCTTTTCTCGATTGAGCAGGCTGTGGCACTTCGGGTTTCGCAGCCACCAGTACACACCCCTTCCCTCGCAATGCACATACTGGCTTCTAGCTGATGGGCCAGCTGATTGTGTAAACCACAGGTAAATGGCTTCCTGTGCATTTCTCAAAATAAGTGTTGAGCAAAGGAAATGAAATCAACCGGTTTAATAATGATCAACAATTTGCACTCCACTCCCTCTCCTTTAAAAAGCATAATTTCACAAGGCAGTTTTGGGGAAAAAAAGTTTAACATCTTGGACATTTTCATTTTGTAAATCTTAGCTTTGCTGAGATACTGGGTGAACCACCATTCTTAAATGTTTCCACTTAATAAAATTGACTCATTTTTGAAAAAATACTGGCACCCTTCCTTACAGAATGGAGGAATCCATTAAGGACTTTTGTTAAGACATCCTTTACCTTAAAAAACTGATGCCTTATTTCCCTTTCTGCACATTAAATGCCCCAAAACAATGGCTTGGCCTTTACGCAGCAGTTAAAATAGGTACTTCAAATGATTGAGAAGTTAGCAAGGGCTCAAGACAGCCAAGCCCTGGAGATGAGCCAACTAAATCCTACTGGATTTTAACCGAGCACGAATTGTATCCTTGTCCTGCTAGTGTCCTTTAAATCCGAGGATTTTTTCCTTCTTCAGATTAAGAGCATTCAATAATTTTAAGTGATTTATCATCAATCATAAATGCACTTTTTTTATAAAAGCAATTTTAAATATTGAATTCTGATTGGAACCAGCCATTAGACAAGGAAGAACGTCTTGAATTTTTTTATAGAACAGCTGTTAAAAATGTAATTTTTCCTTATTTGACAAAACTTTTTAAATTCTATTTGTGTCACTGCTGGTCATTTGCTAAGTAACCAAGTTCAGTTTGACACCTGAGACAAACATCGTTCTGTGAATTATCACTACCTTCATTTTCTCGATAGGACGCAATAAACTTAATGTTGGCTTAGCAAATGCTATAAAAGTTAAGAACTGCGAATATATTTTTATCCAGTTTTCTATACAACTCCTACTAGGAATTCAATCAGCCTAAGAAAATGATCTCGCAATTACCTAGTATAGACAAGCTATTTAACATACCTGGATGAAACCCCTTTCTATGTCTTCGAAAATTTACTTAAATTACCAGATGCTGGGCATCTGTTGCTCCCCAGTGAAACCAAGAGGCAGGCCCTTTTGCAAAGGTTTCATCTTCAAGCAAGCCGCTGGCTCCTTCCAGACACAAACAGTGACACCAGCCAGGTTTTAAAACATTTTATTTGCATATTAAAAAAATTGTGCATTCCAATAATTAAAATCATTTGAACAAAAAAATGGCACTCTGATTAAACTGCATTTTACAGCCTGCAGGACACCTTGGACCAGCTTGGTTTTACTCTAGATTTCACTGTCGTCCCCCTAGCTTCTTCCTTCACCAACATGCAAGTTCTTTTCCTTCCCTGCCAGCCAGACAGGCAGATGGGAGAGGCAGGCGCGGCCTTCGTTGTCAGTAGTTCTCGCTTCTTTGATGTGAAAAGGGGCAGCACAGTCATTTAAACTTGATCCAACCTCTTTGCATCTTACAAAGTTAAACAGCTAAAAGAAGTAAAATAAGAAGGCAATGCTTGTGGAATGTACAGTGCATATTGGCGGCGCACGCCTCATTACGATTCGCCTGCTTGCTTCTCCTGTTCAATCGCTGTGACCGGAAAGAAAAAGACAAAAAGAAAAAACATGGAGGAGGCTGCTTATGCGGATTCAGTATAGCCTAGTATAACATTATAGTATTTTCGTTTACAATCTCTCCATATCGTGAAAATTCTACAAGTATCAATAGGCATTCCATCATGAAATATTTATAATAGAACATTTTAACACATAAAAGAATTTGCATATTAATATGGTATATTAAACATCCATTATTAAATTATTAAAGCCCTGTGTTTGCTGGCTGCAAAAAATTTTTAATTAACCTTTCCAGGCCGCATTCATCATAAAACTGTCGGCTCCTCCCCCACACTCCTCGCCCCCCTCAATTCTCCTCCCAGCCCCTCCCATCCTCTCCCACCCACCCCGCCACTCCCGCCCAGCATGTTCTCGAGAAGTGTGGGGGCGGGGGAGACTTACTTTCTTTTGAAGGCAGTGGATTTTTCTCTTGCGTTTCTGTCTTCTTCAATTTGGACTTATCGAATTTCTCAATCTCAGCCATATCGGGTTTGTCAGACATGGTTGCAGAGGAAGCTGTAAGTACAAAGCCAAGAGCGAGGCTGAGAGCGAGCCACCCACTCTCGTCTCTCCGGGCTCAGAAATGTGTATCTCCCCCTCGCATTTCCTGCCTGAAACCCGACTCTGCCTCCTTCCGCTTTCATTTGGGGCTAAAGATCTTCCTCTTTCTGCAGGAAAAAAAAGACACCCCCGTCCCTTCAATATTTCAAAACGCGGAGGACCAAACTGGAAGATCGCTCATTAGCAGGCCCGAATCGTTTGGAACAAATGCAATTGACCACTGTGGGTTAACTACAGCGTTTCAACAGTAAAATCTGGCTAGAAGGAGTAGAGAATAGTGAAGCCCTTTCCAGTTTAAGGGAGAGAATCGAGTGAAACTTCTTAAAGCGAAGCCAAGGTTGCACACAGCGTTTCCCTTTTCTATACGTGGTCTCTCCCCGCAAAACGCGGGCCCCTCCTGCTTTCTTCTTTCTCACAAAGGCGGCAGCTGCTGCCGGGCGCCTCCGACCACCGCCCTATCCGCTTCCTCACTCGCGCTCAACAATGCCGCCAGCCGCACACAAAGCTGCCCCCACACCCCATAAATCAACCCCAATCTGCATTTAGGGGCAATTCGGCAGCCTCTACACACATTCCCTGCAAGAAGGGTGTGTTTTTTTAACCTCACGGTATAGCCCAGCCACCTGAAACCTAGACAGATGCAGCCCACAAAGCCATCAGAAGCTGGAGGAAAAAATGTAATTGTCGCAGCTCCGGGCTTGGGTGGGTGTGAGTTGGAACAAAGGATCTTTCTGTTCCTGATTAATCACCGCCTAAGAGGCAATGTAGAATGCCTTTCGGGTGGAAAGAAAGAAAAAAATGTTCCCTTGAAGCTACATAGCAAAAGGCCCCAGTATTTTTTTTTAAATCACGAAGTTCCCGACCCCGTTACCCAGCATCTGGAAGGGTTTAGCATCCCAAGGCAGCCTTTCCCGGGAGGACCACTTGGGCTCGGCTTTAGGGATGCCTTAATAGGGTTGCGGGCGCCGAAAGGGCGAAGGCGGGCGCCGTGCGGGGAGGGGACCAGAGGGCAGGGGGCAGGGGCCCTGGGGCTCACCGGAGCGAGGCGCGCGAGCGAGTGGAGACGGGTCTGCGAAGTAGCCGCCGCCGAGTGCCGGGCGGGGCGCGGCGGGCGCCGCTATATGGGCGCTCCTATGTAAATGAGGTGATGTCACCCGCGGGCCCGCTTAACTCCTTCGCGCCGCGGCTCCGGAACGGCGTCCGGGGGCCTACCTGGCGTTTGCGCCCCCCACCCCCACCCCGCGTCCACCAATGCACCCTCACCACAACGAGGGGGGGAAAATAAAACGAGCAAAAGCCCACCTTCCGACATTTCCTTCATAATGCATTTTCCCCCTTTTATATCTACATCATCATAATGGATTTTTGCAACCGCCGCGAAAACCTGCTCTTGGGGACCAGAGCGTGATAACTAAGGGCCTGGGCAGGACCTAGGGGGACAGGCATTCCTTTACTGCGAAGCTGGCTTTGTCTGATGCAGACATCCCCGAGCAAGGGTGCGCTGTGCCTCGCAGGAGGGCCTCACCCACTGCAGGGGTAGATGCCTGTGACTCAGCTTTCAGGCCAGTGGAGGGCTTGCGCCCCACCCCGGCCCTCTTTGTCTCCTCGCTTGCCTTCTCCTAGACTTGGGGGGGAGGTAAAGCACCCTTACGTGATTAAAGAAAAAAAGTTTCATCACTGTAACATCCATATTTTTTTCATCGCTATAATTTTTGTGACCACCCAAATCAAACAGACGTAATACTTGCTGGGTGGAGGATAATTTGTCTGGAGTTTATAGAGTACAACGCCTTCTCTTTAGAAAAAAAGTCAAATTCAAGCTCTGCTATTTCTGCCTGACAATGAGGAAGTTCTTTTACTTTTCTGTTCCTTATTCTCCTAAATTATACAAATGATTGCTAAGGAGGCCCGTGCTGAATACCAAAGACTGCAAGCCCATTATCTCTAAAATCTGAAGGTTAAATTTCAAAATCGAACTCTCTATTTTGAAGGAGCCTTTCTGGAACAAGACATTTTCGAAGTGCACTTCTGAATTACATCCGGAAATAGGGGAGATTTAGGTAGAGAGGAGCAGTTTTCAAAATGGCACCTGACTCGGTGAATACCCCTCCCTCGCTGCTGAAATTAGTTACAAACACCATGGCTGCGCCGGCAAATGGCCTGTGAAAGGAAAAAGACCCACAGGTTGAAAAAGGCCCACTTGAGGTTATTTTGAGACGCAAAGGGGTATGCACAATACTCCTTCTCCTTTCTGCATCCTGAGGAAATGTTTCCAGAAACTCCTTGCTAATTGTGTTTATGGCAGAGGCTTTTGTCTCACTGGGAATTGGAGTTAAGTGTGATGTAGACCCTTAGAAGCCCCTGGAGGAGCAGCTGGGACTTCCCCATTTCTTCATCCACTTGACTTCCTTCTTCCTGGGGGGAAGGGGGGAGGGGGTGGGCAGTGGCAGGTGACTGTCTGGTTCCCCAGTTCATGCTCTGCTGGGTGGCTGCCATTCTGCTCTCCCAATGGGGGCACTGGACCTTTTCGTGCAGGCACAGGATGTCACCTCTCTGGTTTACATCCCCCTGACCCTACCCTAGTTGACTGACCTGAGAGTCCACTTCATCGTGGAAACTCAGAAAAGATGGAGCAGGATGAATTTTTGGCCTGTTTCAGCTGGCAGGTACATCGTACTGACACCATTTCTGTAGGCTCTGTGATTCCATTTCCCCTCACCCAGCTGCTGTCAAAAATCATTCCTTTCCTCCCCCATGACTCTTGATTACAGACGACCCACTACCAGCTCAGTTGCTTCTTCTCCCCAAGGCCTTTTCCTTAGAAAGGGTTAGGCCTTGCAGAGCAATGTCTCCAAAGGAGATGGACGAGCAGAAATTTGTAAATGCCTAGAGAATTTTTTTAGTTTGGTGACAAGCAGCCTTCCACTGTGTTTAACTATTAATAGAAAGAGAGGAAGGGAGAGAGAAGGAAGCAGCTGGCAGAAAGGAAGAGAGCCGCCATACTGGGCTTGACTTGCCAACTTATCAGGGACTGAGAGAGAATGGGAAGGGGAGGGTGAGGCAGACGAAGGGAAATGAAAACTAACGGAATATTCCCAAGAGCGTGTGACCCTGGCCATGTTAATTAATTTTTCTGTGCCAGAGTTTTCTCATCCCTGCAGCACCTCCCTCACCGGGTTGTTGGGAGGCCTAAATGCTTAGGACAGTGCATGACACTTAGTAAGTGCTTTGTATTGTTATTATTATTATTTAGGATGGAAGGTTGAGAAAAAAATAATAAATGTTTTAGTGTTTGGAATTCATTTAAAATTTTAGATGTTTTAATATTACTTATTTCTCTTGTAAAGTACCAGTAAAAATGAGATCTTTTGCTAGTTTTTCAGCAAATAAAAAGTGACAACTCCTAAGCCAGCCCTGATGGCCTAGCGGTTAAAGTTCGGCGCTCTCACCACTTCGGCAGCCCAGGTTCACTTCCTGGTCGTGGAACCACACCACCCGTCTGTCAGTTGCCATGCTGTGGTGGTGGCTCACATAGAAGAACTAGAAGGACTTAGAACTAGGATATACAACCATGTACTGGGGCTTTGGGGAGGAAAAAAAAAAAAAAAGGAAGATTGGCAACAGATGTTAGCTCAGGGTGACTTGTTCCCTGCCAAAAACAAAAACAAAAACAAAAAACAACTCCCGTTGGTCGATGCCTTCTAAGAGTCAGGCATTGTAATAGGTGCTCTACATTTGTTTTTGCCTTTCATGCCCACTGCCTCTCCCTTGAGGAGAGGTTTACAGATGGGGAAACTGAGGCTTAGAGCTCTATCTTTGTGATAACTCAGCCGGTAGCCACTCTCAATTATTATGCTAAGGGGTACATAAAAGTCTTCACCCTGTGCCCCCAATCCGTGCCTGAGAAGCACCAGGAAGAGTGGGAGGCAGGCTGCTTTGTTTCTCACAACACCTGGTAGGTAGTAGTTGCTCAGTAAACAATTAGGGCATTGCATTGAGCTGCCGTGCTTAAGTGAGAAACGTCCTTGAACTTGGCTCTGCCCCACTCTGAACTTGTGACTGTCGCCACCATGCTTTCTTCTCCAGATAATTAAATCCTTTCAGTATTAATGTTTCAGATGCCGGGGATCATTCCTGCCTCATGGAAGCTACCATTTATAAGTGGTTAGCATGTACTGGGCACAACAAACTTGAAGGTGGGCATTTTCAATCCCAGTTGAAAAGACGGAGGCTTGGAGGGGCAGAGGAACTGCAGGGTGCACTCTGGGGTCAGAGCTCTCTGGGAAAGATGAGCAAAGAGCCCACCTGGCAGGGGCCCTGCCTTCCTCATCTCGTGGGCTACAGCGCCCCGTGAAAAATGTGCCAAGAGAGCCTGCATTGGAAGGTGGCCCCCCTCCAAGCCCGTGCCCAGTGGAACCAGGAAGAGGTGTCAGGGCACATTGTGTTTTATTTTGCTTTCCAGGGTGCGCCTGGGACGGTGTTGTAGCTATTTCCAAAGCTGGGGAAATAGCCACTGAAGTCTGAGCTCATGAAAATTAGTCCTATTATTTTTAACCTGTGAAATTTTGTGCAGAGCACTGGCCAGAAGAGGAGAAGGAAGCAGAGGAGAAACAGAGGGACAGTGACAACAGCAAGGCTCCCAACTCTGCTGTCTCAAGCCCAGGTCCCTTTGTCTGGATTTCAGGGCCTCCTACCATCTGCCCCCACCTGCCTGCAACCCATTTTCCCCTGAGACCTCGCAGTCTCCATCTGTTCATCTAAATCCCCTTAAAGACACAGTCCAAGTCCCCCCTTCATGACAGGAAGAGGATATTTAGTGGACTACCTGTATGCTGGACCCTCTTTTAAAGCCCTTTGCATGCAATGTCTGATTCAGTTCTCACCGATGCAGGGGGGTACTATACCCCATTTTACTGTTAAAGAAACTGATGCTCAGAGAACTTAAGCAACTTGCTTGAGATCAAACCCCCAGGTCTATCTATCAAGTCCGCGTCCTTCCATTGAGGCCCATCTCTACCTTAGTCTTTCTCCAGGATTCCCACCTGTGGTGGCTTCACGTTATGCTCGGTGCGATGGAACAGAAGGCTCCCTCAGCTAGTGTGCTAAAAATGAGGATACCAAGGAAGCAGAGAAGAGTCAAAGAACACTCTCGAGAATGTTGAATGTTGTGCTGCTAATTTTTCTGTCCGCTCTGTTGATCTGATGGAATCATAGAGCCAAAAGGAACTTTAAAGGGGATCTCATTCAACCCAGTTCCCTTCTGTGGCTTGAATTCGCCTCTACAACATCCCCTCCAAGTGGTTACTCAGCCCCTGCACAGCAAGGGCAACAATAAGAAGGCAGAGAATCTTCGAGTATACGCAGGGAACGGTGAGTAGCTTAGTTTGGCTAGGGCTTGCATAGAATGAGAGAAAGTGACAGGAAATAATGTTGACAGGCAGGCAGGGGCCAGGTTGTATAATATTAACAGCAGCAGCAGCAGCAGCAATCATGACCATAATAGTAGCAAACATTTTTTGAATGCTTACCATCTACAGGGGAGTTTTCCACGCGGACTCTCCCTAAATCCTCACACAACCCTGTGACAGAGGCAAATAACGGAGTCCTGGAGAGATTAAATAATTTACCCAAAACCACACAGCGAAAGCCAGAGGCAGGGCTTGAACTCAGACTGGCTGGCCCAGAAGCTGCCTCATTTCAACACTATACTTTTCTAGAATCCTAAGCTAAGGCCTATAGACTTTGTTCTATAGTCCAGATAAGGTAAAGTTATATTCCATCTGGATAAATCATCCAACTTTTCCATCATTAAAACTTTTAAACATAGATATCATAGCAATAGGTCATATAAATAAAAAAGTTGCCTGCTCCAATTTTCAAATTATTTCATTACAGAAATTCAACATGCTCTTTTTGAACATTGGTAGTGTCACACAGCTTTTCACTACTTTAATATTTTTCCCAGTAGTCATTCATATTACAATGGTTAAAAAAATTAGTAGGTCAAATAATATATTGAAAGGGGAGGCATTACATACTCCCAACAGCCTTCTGCATTAAAATGATAAACTTTTTCCCTCATTGTGAAGCAGAATTATCATTAGCAAGTAATAAGTGTTTATATATTTTTATGTGCT